AGGGCTTTGTGCCTGCTAGGAAGAGCACTACCACTTCACCTGGGCAGTTAGCCCTTTATGCTTTAGATCTTTTTCAGATAGGGTCTTGCATTCAGACAGTGATCCTCCTATCTATGTCTTAAAATCTTACACATCTGGATAATGTGTGTGTGTGTGTGTGTGTGTGTGTGTGTTTGTGTGTGTGTTTTAGAGAGAGTGAATATGGTGAAGGAAGATAGACACATAGATAGATAGATAGAGCCATTCTTTATGTGATTGAAATGTTAAGTATTTTGAAGTTTTCATTTTAAGTATCACTTGTTGCTTATCTTTGGAAAAATTATTTTCAGAATTTTTCTTCTCTTTTTAAATCTATTTTTGTACATGTTTACCTTGGTTATTAGAAATAATTAAACATTATTGATACATTCCCAGAATAATGAAGTACAATATTAGAGGATTTTTATATTCAAATTTCTCAAAACAATTTACTCAATTTAGCTCACATTTAATAGTTCCCTATTTATTTTTCTATTTAATTGTACAGTAGGCTATCCCTGTCCTTAGGATGCATCTCAGTCTAGATTGTGCACTATGTAGATAGCCTTAAAATGGGTGTGCATGTATGGAGCATGCAGATTTTTTTGTCATTATTCCCTATTTACCATATATTGACATTGCATTAGTTACTACAAGTAACTGAGAGATGATATAAAGTGCATAGGACAATATGAGTTAGATGCAAATGTTATGTCATTTTACATAATAAACTTGAGCATACACACATTTCCTATCCCTTAGGAGTCCTGGAAAAATTTCTCAGAACAATGGACGATTCCATGTTATTTAAAATTATTATTCCATGTTATTTAAAATTAGTGTGCAACATATAGAGAAATTGAAAGAGTTTATTGTATGGTACAACTAAAACCACAAGAGACTTGCTACCAAGCTATAATGATTTGGTAACTAATTCTATACCAGGAGCATTTCCATAAGGAAATGGATCCCAAGGAAAATTGTCTGCTAAATCATCTGGGAGAAAAATAAATGAGTGGGCTGTGAAACACAATGCCCAAGAGGTCTGAGGAACTATACACAAATAGCACGCTCACAAAGCATTCCTGATGTTTTCTACCATTGCCTTCCCAATGCATACTTTTTTCTTTTTGGTACCTGTATCAAGAGAAAAACTAAGAATTTTGATTGTAATTCTTAAATATTCATCTGCTTACAACACTTTCTCCATCCTCTTCAGTTTGAAAAATTGGAATGAATTCCCTCATAATACCTTCTCACCAAGTTATATTTTTCAAAATAAAGTAAACAATAAGATACATTTTCAAAGTCATGCGTTCTCAGGGAATGTAAAGTGTGTAGCTCACGTTGCCTAATATTCATGTGCTCCCTAGCACTTTGTTTCAGGAAGCCTTTTCTAAACTTTGGAAATACTGAGTTCAGTGGTTCTAGGACTTGTCTAATTGTAATTAATGTCTCTCTCTCAGTCTGTCATTTAAACCAAACTTAAAGGCATTTAAATTGCAATAAATACAATATCTCACAGATATTAAATACCTGAGAAAAGTAGAAAGCCTTCATTCAGTCAAATGAGTATATCATGTGAAACACTTTATAGTCACAATTTCATGGATTGACTTGATGTGTTGTATCTAGATGTTTTGGTGTCAGATAAAAAAATAACAATTTCTTTGTGTGTAATTTTATATGTAAACTAAAGGGTGAAGAAACTCTAAATAAAATACTGTATATGATAATATGTACTACATTGAGGCTATGAGTGGAGGTAGTAAGGGGATGTCAAAAGGAACAAAGTATGATGCTTTAAGTGACTTTAAATATTTGTGGGCAAACAGATCACTATGTAGTGAAATACTGATGGAATCTATTGGAAGGAGAAGTTTCAAAAGCCATAAATTCCAAGAAGTAAAAATAATGAAACTTTAGGAGAATTTCATGGAAAAGACGAAAGATTTAGAAAGCTTAAATGTACTTTGGAGCAAATAATATGTGTTAGGCATGTCTGCTGTAGTTTCTTTAGGGAAATAACCAGAATGTTGGAGAAAAGTCACTGATGCTAAATGCCACACATTAACACTGAAACCTTAAGAAAACAAACAGATCCCCAAACAGATCAGATTTTCTTGAAAACAGGTGAATGCAGTCTACTTAATTCTGTGTAATAAAGAAGTCCTCTTTGCTCCAATTCTTCCAGAAAGCAACCCTAAGTAGGTGATGTTACCCAATGAGTTATTTTTCTATTCTGTTCTCTTGTTTCCACCTTACAACGTTCATGTTTCTGCTATTGTCTGGAGGGGGTTTTATTCCATTTTGTAGAAAAGAGGCTCTCTGATTTATGAATTGTGAATAAAAGACCTTAGATCTATAACTAAATTGAGTGGAATTGCATCTTTTAACAGGGGTGATCAAAACTCACAAGCTCAATGAATTTCAAATAATACAAATTTAATGAAAATGCTGAAAGAATACTGGAATGAATGTTGTACTTAGAGCTAGATAAGATTAATTATGGATGAATCCAGGGAATACCAAATCTAAGTTACTATAAAATATTGAAGGATGGTATATTGTGAAAAACATTAAATATGGGTTAAGTGCAGTGGCTCATGTTTTTAATCATCATCACTTGGGAGGATCACCATTCAAGACCAGTTCAGCAAAAGTTGGCAAGACCCCAGCTCAATCGATAAAAAGCTGGACATGGTGGTACATGATGTCATCCGAGGTAGGTGGATAGTATGCATAGGAATTTTGTAGTCTATGCTGGCCAGGACTTAAATGAGAGATTCTATTACAAAAAAAACCAAAAAAAACCAAAGCAAAAAGGACACAAGTGATAGAGTACCTGGTAAGCACAAAGGTTTGAATTCAAATTCGAGGACCGTCCAAATAATCAGATATGCATATGACGCTGTAAATGAATATACAGTAGATATCTTATCCTGAAATTATTTATAAATGTGGGCAGATTATCTTAATACTATGTTAAGAGTTTCATTAGTGCATAAATACTTATTTAATATCCCATTTACAACATAAAATTTTCACATGAAAAATTTTGGTCAGGATACATTCCTAAATTCTCTTTGTTCATGTAACATTTGAAATAATGTCAACCGAATGTCACAGTCATTCAGGAAACAACTCTAGAGTTCAAGTGCTTTCTATAGAATCTTGAAACTCAGAGCTTATAGTCTCAATATCTCACTACCTCGTTTAAGACATTGATTGCTTTTCGATCATTAGAGGTTCTCCAGTTATTAGCAGACTACAGGAATGAGTGATTAACAATGTCTTAAAACATGAATACTAAAAATTCCTTATTTCATTAAAGTTTGGGTAGATACTAAGAGTTTTAATGGGTGAAATAAGCTTACTGGAGTGTTTGACACAGGGTTCAAGGGAGGATTAGTTGGAATCTTTTTGTCACTATGATTGCATACTTGTCCAAGATGGTATATAATCAAGGGCATGGTTTCCATCTTAGCTCTGGGTAATTTTCTTTCTGTCACACCTCACAGGTTGGCTTTGAGGATTTAAGGATATATCACAGCTGTTCGTTGTAATGTAGTCTGGAACTCTTAACTACTAATTGGCTCTAAGAGTAATTCAGAATGCTGTTACAGAGATCCTATCTTAACTTCCTATCTGAATATCCTCCACCTCACAGATGATTGTGAATTTCATGACTCTTCATTCCTAAAAGAAAAGAATAATATAAACCAACCTTCCCAATTCTTAAAAGAATTTATCTTTTTGAAAAGTCTGTTATACTCAAGAGTGTGGATTTGTTATTTTCTATGCAACTTTTAGTTAAAAAATAATGGAATGGGTAGACTATAAAACTGTAAACTAGTTTGTGGATTTTAATAAATCTCTGGGACTTAAATGGGAAATTGACTCTTCTAGCACAGTTGCCTACCCTTCAGAACTGTATCTGTAGCTGAATATAATCAGTGGAGCACTGATTACTATCCTAGTTCATATTTAAGCCCACTCAGTAAAGGAAAATGCCCATGAGATGTATAAATTTAATAAAACTTAATGTTGAATGATCAATGCTCAAAGTTTGACCTAAGTAATTATATAATAAAAATACACAAAAGTAATCCTTGGTTATGGAGGAAAATATGGCATTGTAGCCCAAGTCCCTCAAATTACAATTCAGAAAATTGGTATAAAAAGTAAGTCAGACATTATGCCATATGCCTTTAATACTTCTACTGGCTACTCAGAAGTTAAGGAGGGAGGATCACTTAAATTCAGGATTTCCAGGCCAGTGTGGGGGAGTACAGGAAGACTCTGTCTCAACAACAAAGTGTTTAATTTTCCTGGTTAATTCCAAATAGTTAAGATAGATTGTTTAACACCAATGGTGTCTTACTATCCATAGAGATGATATAATTATCTGCTGACTAATTGATGCTAACTGTGGCTTTCTTAATAATTCTTCTATCTCCAGGGTTTCTACTCTTGCTGTTACTGCTACCACAATACTTATTTCTCCTTAATATTTCAGTAATGTCTTACAGCAGCATTCCTGAAAATGGACCATCTGAGTCATCACCCCACACCACATCAGATGCCTGGAGATAGAAACCAAAAAGCTCTTCATTTTAACAACTTATTCAGCTGATTTTTGTGCAAGCCAAAATTTAAAATCAATAATTGGAGCACCTGAAAACACTTCTACTTTCTGTTTAATCCACATAAACTCCAGGAAGATAGTATCAGCTTTATTATACAGAAGAGAATAATGGAGTTTCAGAATGTTAAGCTTGCTGGTTGAAGGAAATTCCCTTTAATTTAGGGCTCATGAAGAGAAATGGAGTCACCTTGTTCCATGCCCTTTATATTATTTTCAGCACAATTTATTGTACCTCACCTCCACATTTACATGAAAAATGCATAATTATGTTTTAGAATCCCTCATATTTCTACCTTTGTCACCATCTTACTGTATGTGAAACAAATTGAAGATGATGACACTAATTAATGAAAGCCACCCTGAAGAGTTCATTCTACTAGGCTTTACTGACCGTCCTTGGCTGGAGCTTCCTCTACTCATTATTCTTCTGATTAGCTACCCCATAGCCATTATGGGAAACATCACCATCATTTTGGTGTCCAAGTTAGACCCCCGGCTCCACAGCCCCATGTATTTCTTCCTCACCAACTTCTCCTTTTTGGACATATGTTATACCATGAGCATCGTACCTCAAATGTTATGTAACCTGAGCAGCTCCACCAAAGCAATGAGCTATACTGGGTGTGTAATTCAGCTTTATTTATACACCATTATGGGGGCTGCAGAAAGTCTACTCTTGGTCATTATGTCTTTTGATTGCTATGTGGCCATCTGCAGACCTCTGCACTACACCCTCATCATGAATCAGCGCATCTGCATCCTTTTAGTGTCCATTGTGTGGCTGGGTGGAATGACCTATGCTTTCTCAGAAGCCACTCTTACACTACAATTGCCATTGTGTGGCATCAATAAGCTGGATCACTGGTGTGTGAGATGCCAACTCTGATAAAGACTGCCTGTGGTGAAAAGAAGGTTAATGAACTCGCACTTTCTGTGATATGCATTTTTATAATAGCTGTTCCTCTATGCTTAATTCTTGCCTCCTGTGCTAGTATTGGATGTGCTATATTGAGGATCAAATCCTCTGCAGGAATTAAAAAGGCCTTTGGGACATGTTCCTCTCATCTCATTGTAGTTCTTTTATTTTATGGCCCAGCTATTAGCATGTACCTTCAGTCCCCCTGCTCCATCACAAGGGACCAACCCAAGGTCATGGCTCTGCTCTATGGAGTGGTGACTCCTACACTCAATCCCTTCACTCTACACCCTGAGGAATAAGGATGTGAAAGGAGTGTTAGGGAAACTGGTGAGGAGTATTTTTTATTTCTAAGTGATATTTGGTAGCCATCAAATGGTATTATTAAAGATTTAGATTAGGTTTGTATGGTTTCTCTAATTCTTTCTTGTCTCATAAATCTTATGTTATATGTTCTTTTTGTAAAATATAGCATACGTCTTGTATTCTTTCTAATCATGTTAGACAAGGATTATACTCAGTAAATGCTCACCAGTAGGTACGCTCTGTGAAAGAAATGTTAAAATACTTGACTTACACCCTGAAGTTTTTAAAATGTGACTCCTCTAAAGTTTATGTGTGAGATTTAATGTGTTCAGACCAGGATTTACAAAAGAGATCATAGGTGATGAGGTTTTCTCCCTTGTTAATGGAATTAAGGCCCTTAAAAGAAGCTTGACACACAAAGCTTGTCCCATTTGTCTTTCTGCTTTCATTATGTGAATGAATAGCTCTTAACACATGGACTTAAGTTCAATCCATATATGTTCATATGTGAAATAGTATAATGAAAGCAACAAAAAACTGTTAAAGAAGGGGGAGGGAGTTAAGAAATAGTAATGGGGGATAAATATAACTACACACATTATATGTGTGACTGTAAATATAGCAATAAAACTCTTTGTGTAAGCAATTTAGCAAACAGAAAATAAAATAACCCCCCACCCCCGCCAAACAAGAAGTTTCCATCTAGGAGGCTGAGACTGGGTCCTTATCAGAACTTCAACCTGTTGATGTCTTTATTTTAGGCTCCATGCATGCAGAACTGTGAGGAATACATTAGTATTATTTAGAAATTAACTATTCTCTAGACATTTAATTACAGCAACACAAATGTACTATGACACACTTCAAATTTAAAATATTGCCATAAAGTTAGTTAGAATTCATAAAAGAAAACCAAAATATTTTAAAATCTGTGTTGAATTTGTATAGTGTGAATTCTATGTGATGTTGTATAGTAAAGATAAACTGAAAAACAGGGGGGCATTAGTATTTTTCTGGCATGTCTTTTAGTATGATCAAGAACTGAGCAATTAATTGCAAAAAAAAAATCACATTATCCTGAGTAAGAATCAACTAAAATCTGGACCCACTTTTTGAACAGCAGTAGTCCAGCTCATAGTACTGGGATATTATACATTTAGTTTGGAAACATTCTAAATAACTTTAAAAACAGACTGATTTTATTGTGGCTTATTATGAGAAAGTGTTTTAAGATTATGGACACAACACATACATACATGGAATGAAGTTTATGAGGTGTTAAATGACTGTTATCATTTAACGTCAGTATGTTAGCGTATCCTATCTTACATACTGAGAAATAAAGTATTTTTAGTTTCAGGGCAGAATCAAGAAGGATTTCTAGCAAAATAGATTACTAATTTCACAAATGTGAGCAATGTCTAGACTGTGAGAAATCAGGATTTTCAAAGAAATGTAGAAAAAAAAATCTCAATATAAAAAGAATACTGGTGGTAGAAGAAGGAAACACCTACTAAAAAATTTTATTTGTATAAGATTCCTTCTTATTTCTAGGGTATGTATTTCATACCTTAGAAAAAAAGTATTTTTTTCCATGAGATATATTTTACTTGTCTTTTGAGAAGTTCTGTGAAGAAAAGGCATACATTATATCGGAATGTGAAAACGTGCTCCACCTTTAAATAAAACAGGAGCAATCCCGAGCATAAAAGAACAGGTAGGACCAGATACTCTAAGGGTGGTAGATCTCAACCCACTTCATAAATAAAGAGAACATTCAGAGAAAAAATTAACAAAGATATCCTAGAGCTAAGCAATACCATGAATGAAATGGACTATAAACGTTATAGAGTATTCCATCATACAGCAGCAGTTTACACATTTTTCTCAGCAACCCATGGAACTTTCTCCATAACAGATCACATTGTAGGTAATAAAACAAACCTCAATAATCACCCCACCCCAAATCAAAATAATCTCCTGTATTCTAGCAGACCATAATGAAATAAAATTAGAAATCATAAGCAAGGAAAACCTCAAAAAACATTCAAATGCATGGAGATTGACCAACACACTTTAACACATTCAATGTGTCATTGACAAGATTAGGAAAGAAATTAAGAAATTCCTAGATTCAAATAAAAATAAGAATTCTATCTCTGTGGTGAAAGTCATTGGGATTTTGATGGGAATTACATTAAACATGTAGATTGCTTTCGGTAGTATAGCCATTTTTACTATGCTGATTCTACCAATCCATGAGCACGGGAGATCTTTCAATCTTCTGTAATCTTCCTCGATCTCTCTCTTCAGGAGTTTGTAATTCTCCCTGTAGAGTTCATTCACATCTTTTGTTAAATTTACTTCAAGGTATTTGATTTTTTGGGGGGCTATTGTGAATGGAATTGTTTCCATATATTTCTTCTCAGTTTATTCATTGTTGGTGTATAGAAAAGCTAATGGTTTTTGAGGGTTGATTTTGTATCCTGCCACCTTACTGTAGCTGTTTATGGTGTCTAAGAGTTTTTGGGTGGAGTTTTTTGGGTCTCTAAGGTATAGGATCATATCATCTGCAAATAAGGATATTTTGACAGTTTCTTTACCTATTTGTATTCCTTTTATTTCTTCTTCTTGCCTAATCACTCTGGTTAGGCATCCCAGTACTATGTTGAATAGGAGTGGGGATAGTGGGCACCCTTGTCTTGTTCCTGATTTTAAGGGAAATGGTTTCAGTTTTTCACCATTAATTATGATGTTGGCTGTAGGTTTGTCATAAATAGCCTTTACAATGTTGAGGTACATTCCTTCTATTCTTAGTTTTCTTAGAGCTTTTATCATGAAATGGTGTTGGATCTTGTCAAAGGCTTTTTCTGCATCTATTGAGATGATCAAGTGGTTTTGTCTTTGCTTCTATTGATGTGCTGTATTACATTTATAGATTTGCGTATGTTGAACCATCCCTGCATCTCTGGGATGAAGCCGACTTGTCATGGTGAATGATCTTTCTGATGTGTTGTTGGATTTGGTTTGCTATTATTTTATTAAGGATTTTTCTATTATTCTCCTTTTTGGAGGTGTCTTTGTCTGGTTTTGGGATGAGAGTAATATTGGCTTCATAGAATGAGTTAGGCAGTATTCCTTCCCTTTCTATTTCATGGAACAGTTTAAGGAGAGTTAGTATTAGTTCTTCTTGAAACATCTGATAGAATAAGCAGTGAATCCATTGGGTCCTGGACTTTTCTTTTTTTCTTTTCTTTTTCTCTTGATTGCTGCTTCAATTTCTTTTTGTGTTATAGATCTATTCATGTCATTAATACCATCTTGGTTCAGTTTTGGGTGGTTGTAAGTTTCTAGAAATCTGTCCATTTCTTCATGATTTTCAAATTTATTAGAGTGTAGGTTCTCAAAGTAGTCTCTTGACTCACCACAGAGATAGAAAAATCTACTCTAAAATTCACTTGGAAAGACAAGAGACTGCGAATAGCCAAGACAATACTCAGCAAAAAAAAAGCAATGCTGGAGGTATCACAATACCTGACTTCAAACTATATTACAAAGCAATAGCAATAAAAACAGCATTGACCAGTGGAACAGAATAGAAGATCCAGATATGAATCCACACAACTATGCCCACCTTATTTTTGACAAAGGTGCCAAAAATATCTGATGGAGAAAAGACAGCCTCTTCAAAAATGTTACTGGGAAAAGTGGTTATCTATCTGCAAGAAACAGAATCTAGATCCATGTCCATCACCCTGTACTAGTGTCAACTCAAAATGGATCAAGGACCTAAACATCAGAACTGAAACTCTGAAGTTACTAAAGGAAGGAGCAGAAAACACTCTGGAACTAATAGGTAAAGGCAAGGACTTCCTCAATACAACCCCAGCAGCCCAGCAACTAAGAGAAGGGATGGACAAATGGGACTTCATAAAATTAAAAAGCTTCCACACAACAACAAAAAAATGGTCTCTAAACTGAAGAGACCACCCACAGAGTGGGAGAAAATATTTGCCAGCTACACATCAGACAAGGGATTGATAACCAGACTATACAGGGAACTTAAGAAACTAAACTCTCCTAAAATCAATGAACCAATTAAAAATGGGCAACTGAACTTAATAGAACTTTCTCAAAAGAAGAAATTCAAATGGCCAAAAAACGCATGAAAAAATGCTCACCATCTCTAGTCATAAAGGAAATGCAAATCAAAACCACACTAAGATTCCACCTCACTCCTGTTAGAATAGCCACCATCAAAAACACCACCAACAACATGTGTTGGTGAGGATGTGGGGAAAAAGGAACCCTAATCCACTGCTGGTGGGAATGCAAGCTGGTACAACCACTCTGGAAAAAAATTTGGAGACTCCTTAAAAATCTAAACATAGATTTGCCATATGATCCAGCAATCCCACTCCTGGAGATATACCAAAAGAAGTACAACACAGATTATTCCAGAGGCATCTGCACACCTATGTTTATTGCAGCGCTGTTCACAATAGCCAAGTTATGGAAACAACCAAGATGCCCAACTATTGATGAATGGATCAAGAAAATGTGGTACTTGTACACAATGGAATTTTCCTCAGCCATGAAGAAGAATGAAATCTTATCATTTGCAGGTAAATGGATGGAACTAGAGAATATCATTCTGAGTGATAAACTCAGAAGACCAAAAAATTGTATGTTCTCCCTCATATGCAGACTTTAGATCTAGGGCAAATGTAGCAATGTGGTTGGACTTGGATCACATGATAAGGGGAGAACACATTTGGGTGATATAGAAATAGGCAGAAAACCGAAAACATGAAAGCGTTTGATGTCCCCACTCCAGAGGAGCTAATATAGAAACCTTAAAGCAACAGAGGTTATCATGAGAAGGGGATTAGTAACCAGGGTAAAAATCAGTTAGAGATGAATTAACATGGGTCATAACACATGTACATGAAAGCAATGCTAGGAATATTTGTGGATAGCTATCCTCAACTCAACTAGCAAAAACGCTTTGTCTTCCTTATTAAGCTTGTCTCTTTTCTTCAACAAAA